GGCGTCAAGTATGGTATTATATATAACCATTATATTATTTCATTTATATGCATTTATTAGAAGTTTTGCGAATAATAGTCAGATGGTGTTTGATGGATATTATTAAGAAAAAAATGTATTTTAAATAGTGATATGATAAGAAATATGTGGTTAAAAAGTAAGGAAAAGTTATTGATGTGATAGAAAATATTATTTTATTAAAAAATGTGTGGTTGAAAATGAGTTTGAAAATAATGTATTTTGAAAGAATGTGCGTCAAACAAGCCCAAAAGCCCTTCTGATCAAGTGTCGAGTTTTAACCGTGCAAGGTAGTAAGAAAAGAGGTTTATCAAAGCAAAGTAACTTCTACTATAAATTGTAGAAAAAAATTAAGAGCAAAGAATAAAGATAAATCGCCAAAGTGTGCCTACATCTATCCCTCCTAAAATATAGCTCAAAACTATTGTTTTATAATTTATCTACAATTATCAAAAATAATAAATAGCAATAATAATAACAAATTTGAGGTCGTCCATGTATTTTTTTTTTTTTTTGCCATGCTAAGTCGAATGTTGGAGTTGTTGGGATGCAACTGGCAAGTAGACAAAATCGAAGGAACTACGTAGGAAAGTATTTAGTATGGGAGTCGAGTACGAACAAGATAATGAATGGGAACATCGTACAAGTACAAATTCTATGAAGTTAAGTGTAAGTATTAGTTTTAGAATTTAGCTATTTTGCCAGAAGAAATTATCCAGAAATAGTGTTAGAAGATGAGTTGGAGTGAAATGATTGGATGAAAAAACTGACTATGTTTTAAACTGTCTAATGATAGAATGTCATGTGATATTATGTAAGTCTTGATGTACATGTATCATGATTAATTTTAGAATTATATATTTCGAGCCTGTGAGTGTATTTTGACATCATTAAACACGTTTCCTTCTAGGAATTCCATCAAATGAATTGTACTTCATTTTTGAAATTAATTAAACTTCATCCACGAATACTACGTTTTGATAATTTCTATATAGGCCTTCATAATACTTCGTGTGCTACGTTGGATGATGTAAACGATTTCTTTTAATTAATATTAGTGATTTTTATGTCGATTCTATACCAACTCAAATTATTTCAAAATAAGGCTATTTAGCACCACTACTGTTACATAAAATGTCAATTAAATAAAAAGTACAATTAAATGAATTTCATTTTTAATTAAACCTATCACATAATGCCTAATAAGTTGGTGCTAAATAACATTATTCTTTAAAAATAAATAGTGATCTTCTATTGCACTTAAATAAATACTTCCTGCCAATTTATTCGTATTAATGGCAAATAACTAGACGAAGTATAACTCTCTGCATTTTTAATGCTTGGAGAATAGACAAGATGATAAAAGATGCATACTTATATATACTTGTTTAATTGGTACCAAGATTCAACTTAAACATCTCATAAAACAAATGTTTAAATTCAAATCCCGCAAGACATGATAAGAGACTTGGGTCATTACAATATGCATCAGAAATCATCTCTTTATGGACAAGTTTCGAATGAACATCCAAGCACAAAATTGAGTCTCGAAGTATTTATAAAGGCCAGTTCCCAGGTTTATACCTTAATAATTTTGTACTGTCAGTGAAGTCACGAGTCATAAGGCCATCGGAGCCATTTTAACAAAAATGACTAAGTACACTAGTACAACTACAGCCTTCAAATTTATCTCAGACTGGAATGGGAAGCACTACTCGCAAGCATCCTCCAGTTGGCATCTCCAAAATTTGCATAATATCCAAAAGCACCTAAGACATGAAATCTTTCTTCTTTGACTTGCCCACTATTTCCAGCACCTTCCGTTTCCTTTTTATTCACGTTCTGGATGAATTGCATAAAGTTATACATATATTCATTCATGAAAAGGAGGAAAGGGAGAAAAAGAACTATAGACATGATATAGAAAATGCACAACTATGAAGTACACACCTCGGCAACCATGTCGCTGAAGTCCTCCTTCTGACTACGTACCTTCTCTTCTTCTCTTGCTTCCTCGTATCTGGGAAAAATACGGACATTAGAACAATGAATGCTATAGGCTTAACCCGACCAATCAAAACATTAATAAAAACAGACTCCACTTACTTGGCCGGTAAAACAGTCCTTAAGTTCCAACTCTTCTGGTGCCAATGTGACATCAACTGTGTCTGATTTCTGACCTCTAAGCAAATCAACCTGACACCAGATAAATAGTGGAAATGACATTATCAAAAGCCTATCTTATGGACTGGCAACAGATAAAGAACTTGAGACATTAGTTCCTAGTAACATATAGTCAGTGGCTTTGAACATAAGATTGCAAGTGCAAATTATTTCTAGAAAAAAAAAAAGATAATGGAAACAGAAAAGTATTTTCATTTACAACTCCTTGCAACGCAGAATTTTAAGCTTGTTTGCATCATGACTAAAGTCATTTGTAGAAAATGCAGAAAACAGTCGTCCGACTAGTTTATCAAGCCATCATGGGTTCAAAATAAAACAGCCCAACCAACCGTATCAATCATGTGGTAGAACTGTCCAAATGAATTCAAATCCACATTAAAATAGCCAAAAATGAATCCTGTTTGTTTATTTATCCATATAGGTCAATAGGACCAAGCACCGGGCTCAAAGAAAGAGATTTCAAAGCTTCTAGCATGCATCACTTGATCACAAATAACAAATTATTTGTCAAGAAAGGAAAAGAAAGTTTGAGAACTGAACTTAGGATGTTATTTCTATAATAAGGGTCAAGCTGCTAATTCCAAGAGACCAGGGGGAGAAAGGTGCTTATAGACATGAGACATCATTCATAATGCTTGAGCCCCACAGGTTAGTACTGATCAGCCCAGTACATATGCCACATAATCAGTCCCCTTCATCTTAACCAGTGTCGGAAAAGGAAAAAGGAAACTAACAAATAACAACAACATGTTGTCTTATTCCCTACAAACTTGGGCTAACTTGCACAAGTCTTTCTCATCCCCCTATAATAACGAAAGTTTGGATCTACCAAAAAACAATTGCTTTTTCCACTTCATCATTGCAGAAAGAACTGTGAATTTGCGTGTGAATGAATAGCACAGTGAAGAGACAGGATTCATCTCACTTGTCTAATTTTTTCAATTCCCGTGGCAGCAATAAAATCAGGAAGTTGAAAGTTGAAACGGCTGTTTCTCAATACCATGCTTTCCCTGAAAGATGAATTCAGAACACAATGAGGTAAGTGTTATCCAGGATGTAAGTATTATGCAAACTTCTAAGTGCAAATCAAGAATTCAACTAGTTGAAGCTTTATATAGAAGCCAAATAAATCTGAAATTCCGAGAAGATTCCTTGGCATCCTGCTAGCAGAAATTGCATATTTAGTTTCAACAGAAGGAACTTATCAAAGGCAAATTTTATCATCCAAGGAAGGTGTTATAAAATGCCTATACGCCAACCCACACTAGAAAGCACATTCAAAACAAAATTCATGCAAGGTTCCCCTTGCCAAACACCACCATGTCCAGGATCCATAAATGGCAGTCATCCCCCTGCAAGAACCCACATATATACATATAAGACAAACCCTGTGTATGTTATTGTCCACCACCTGCCTTCCTAAACCCCACATTCTTTAAACCCATCATTTTCTTTATTAAATTTTCTAAAGATGGTGGGCAGCTATTACAGTATATTCTAACTCATGCCACAGCATAAATCTCACCTGCAAAAATTTCCTTTTCTGACACCAGTGCCTTGGCACTGCCACTGTATTCCGATATGATTTCAGATACACCAACAGCTTAGGGTCTGCTGATGTGGCATCCTAGACCTAAAAAAGTCATAATAATCTAGTACATTATTATATTAAAGAAAATGACAATTTATATCTGTACCAATAGACAACAAATATATTTGAATCACTACCACAAAAAGGTCACAGAACAACACATTTTCAACACAAAGATGTGTCGATAATCTAAAGTTTAAAAACAATGTTCTGCACTGGTACTTATCATCCTATAGATTTACTAACAAGAATTTGACAAGATTCATTCTGCAACATACTAAACTCTTTGTCAGCCTGCAAGGAGCAGACAGATGATTCCAAGAATGGGCTCTCACACTAAATAAAGAGGAAGTACAGAATTTAACAGAGACAGATATAGATCCCTCTGTGTAATGAAATATCAGAATTAAAAAAAAGGTAAAGAAATGCCAAACTATCCTGATAAGTCTCTCCTCATACCCAACGCACAAGCAGCACGTGCATAGAGAGAGGGAGAGGGACCAATAAGGAAGGATCCATATCTAAATGATTTCAAATGAACTCCAAGCTACCACTGAGTCAAAATGATAAATTGAAGTAGAAATTGTTTCTATGGAAAATAACCAATTAACCGTCATCAAATTGAGAAAAGGGAAACCCATGAGTTAGACATTTTTTTTTGATAGATAATCAGAAAATTTTATTAATCAAAGAAGAATACACAAAATGATGAGTTAGACATGATAAACTAAGAAACATATTCTTCCAGACACAGCAGAAGATTCAATAATCAAGATGGCATAACACTCCAAACCACACACATAAAGCAAACTGCATGGATCAAATAAAATTAGAAGACTAGCATCACGCAATTCAAACTATACCTCAACTACATCAGGCTTCGAGCAGATTTGTTTCAGTTCAGCAATCTTCATTCAACGTTGAAGCTGAAACAGAATAAGATCATTTTGCCTAAGATACACTATCGAAGATTCGAAAGTTGAAAAACCACAAAAACATGTCTCCTCAATAAACAAGAGAGAAATAACAGCAACAAAACTTTGAAGATAAAAATTATAACCTTTTTCTGTTTATTAGAGACGCCCTTCTCCTTTTGTTGAGTATCCTGCTCTTCCTCTTCTGAATCTGAGTCAGCCTTCTTCTTTGAGGCTGTATCAGGTGAAGTCTCATCCTTTTTATCATTCTCCTAAATAAACAAGAAAGTTGAGGTAGAAGATAAAGAGAGAAGCAAATAACAAAAAGACAAAAAAGAAAAGGAATCCAGTCGAAAACGTCACAACTCTATTTACCTCAGCAGCACCTTCACTAAAACTGAATTTCTCGAAGACCTTCCTGAATTCCTCATTCAAGTCATCATCCAATTCAGCCTTCTCCGGGACATACTCCATTTCGACTTGCTCTAGAGCCTGTCATTTTCAATTTATATAAAACAAAGTCAAGATTTAGAGTTCTCAGATGAAATTTTACCGAGTTCAACCATTTCCATCTAATAATGAACAGGAGTATGATTCCTCAACCCAAAAGTTAAAATTAGAAAATTAAAATAGAAATATTCAGCTTCCCCATAAATTTCTATTTCCTTTCAAATGCCTTTCCATTCACACCATAACATACCCATAGTTGTGCAAGAAACAAACCCCATGCCAAAAATTAGTAATCCTTTTTAAAAATTAAATGGATTGGCATAAACATACGAAGTTACCGGGGAAGGAAGAAGACGAGTTCTTTCTTCTGTCACTTAGAAACCAAGCGAGATGGGAAAAAGAAACAAAACCTGAAGTTCATATCTTGAACAGCAATGTTAATTCGTATAAACAATAAATATATTAGAAGCTCTCGGTTAACTCTAAGCCTATTAAATATTATTTTTTTATACCACCGGCTTAGTTGCTTTAACTTCTAGGGATGCTGGCTAGCAAAGTTCTCGCTGTTTCACCCAAAATATATATAATATTTTTTTTTGAAAGGAACTATTTCACCCAAAAGCACAACAAGCACTTCCATTTTTTTCAAGTAACTCTATAGCTTCATCATTTCTCCCATACTAACATCTCAAAAGGAAAAAAGTCAACAAACACGATCGACAAATTTCCAGAACACCAATCCTCAGTTTCATCCCAGTTAATAGACCAGAGAAACGTAATATACTCTCTTGGCTTGACTTGGAGAATCAATTCTTTTCTCAAAAAAAAAAAACTTCCGTTTATTAACTTACTCACATAAGAGCACAAATGAATGCTTACATGCATATGCATATATTTTCATGAACAACGAAACCCTCACGTGGGCAGATCTGCACAAGTATTAACAAACTAACCTGCAAATTTCAAATTCCATTCACTAATCCCTAACCGGATTCAAAACCCTAGAAATCACTTCGTAATCACAGAAATTTAGAAGCAGTACCTTCTGAGCATCAGAATCTTTTTTAAAGCTATCATTCACGATGCCGTTTGAGTTCTCAGCGGCTGTGTCGCTGGCATCATCGGAGGCGGTAGTGGCCTGGGATGCCTTGTTTTTTTCCGCTTCCGTCGCCTCCTGGGCCGCTCGCTTTCCCGTGATTTCTTGACGGCGTTGCTATGGTTTTGGGATTTCAAACCGCTGTTTTGGTACGGTAGATTCTCAGGGATTACTGTCATTTTATTTTCAATTCTCTTAGAAATTGAGTTAATAACAGGAATACACTCTAATTTTTTTTTAAAAAAAAAATTTCGCTCCTTTGGAAAACAGACAGAAATTGGAGGGAAAAGATCAAAGGACTAGCAAAAAAATTTCTAAAATTTTAACGTGGCAAACGTAATTGGGGTTTATTGATATTGGGCTTAACCGACCTTGAGAGTAAGATTGGGAAAACTGACAGAAATAGCACTGACTTGACAATTTAATAATTAGAAATTTTTTTTAACTTTTAGTTTTAACACCTGACTCATTTCATTGTCCAACTGAAATTATTAGTCAAGCTTCTTCTTCGAGATCGCCGATAATGGACGAAATTGAGCACAACTACGTCGGAGTGAACGGGCTAAAGCTTCACATCGCAGAAATCGGAAGTGAATCGTCGCCGGTAGTGGTGTTTTTGCACGGATTTCCCGAAATATGGTACTCTTGGCGCCACCAGATGATTGCAGTTGCCAAGGCTGGTTTCAGAGCAATCTCACCCGATTATAGAGGATACGGGTTATCCGATCGGCCACCCCAACCCGAGAAGGCCGTCTTTTTGGATCTGATATCTGACCTCCTTGCAATTCTTGATGCTCTTAACATCTCCAAGGTATGTGATCCTTTGGTGATAATTGTGTTTTTGCTCTTATTTTTCAATTGATTGCCTTGAAAATTGGAGTTTATGTGGAATTGCCTTAATGTTCAATCATTCATCTTCAAATATTAATTTGCAGGTTTTTCTGGTTGGCAAAGATTTTGGAGCTGCCGTTGTTTCCATATTTGTCCTCCTCCATCAGGAGAGAGTTTCAGGGTTCGTGACATTAGGCATGCCATTTATGCCTCCACGTCCTCCCACACATCATAAGCTCCTTCCCGAAGGCTTCTATGTTTTGAGATGGCAGGTCCTCTTTCTTCCTCGGGATACCCAGATTTGGCTGCTTCCAACTCTTTATCAGTAAATTACAAATTTTTTCTTGCAGGAACCTGGACGTGCTGAAGCTGATTTTGGTCGATATGATGCTAAAACGGTAGTGAGGAATATTTACATCATGTTCTCCAGAAGCGAAATTCCAATAGCTCAAGAGAACCAGGAGATCATGGACTTGGTAGAACCCTCTACTCCTCTACCCTCTTGGTTCTCTGAGGAAGATCTTGCCGCCTATGGAACCTTGTACGAGAAATCTGGATTTCAAACTGCACTGCAAGTTCCTTATAGGTAACCTGAAGTTTTGTACATAAAAAATTACTGTGGTCTTATTGTGTTTGATTCACGTTATTTTGAAAGAATGTATTCTGGAATAGTAGATTGATGAGAATTTATGGTTGAAAAAGAAGGAAACGTTATTGATGTGATGTAAAATATTATTTTATTGAAAAATGTGTGGTTGAAAATGAGTAGAAGAATGAAAATGAAAATTTAAATGTGTACCAAACATGGGCTTAAGAAAAATAAAGTGCAAGTTTGCACCTTGCCCCAAAACAAGTTTGGACTTGCTTTTTCTTTTAGCTAAAAAAAAAAAGTTGCTTTTTTGTCGAAAGTAACCCTTTTTACATGCTTATTTCTTTCTGTTATAGGGCGTTTCTTGATCGGAAGAGTGAACAGAATAGTATACCGAATCCAAAAGTTGAAGTCCCGGCTCTTCTAATAATGGGCGAGAAGGATTATGTTTTCAAGTTACCAGGAAGGGAAGACTACATAAGGAGCGGAGAGGTGAAAACATTTGTACCCAATTTGGATATAATCTACATACCAGAAGGAACTCATTTTGTTCAAGAGCAATTCCCTGACCAGGTGAATCAGCTTATCATTAATTTCCTCAAAGACCATAGTTGATCATTCCTCTTCAACAAGCCCTTTGTGTGTGCGAACGTTCTACCGAATAAAGGGAAAAATGTATTGAGTTTGAAGAGACGTATTGGGGTCTCGTGTTTTGTTAAACTAAAGAGTTTGATGTATGACCCACCATTATTTTGTTTTAGCCATTTATTTCAATTGGATCGCTGGTCGATATCCATTAGAAAACTAGCAAATAGTGACTTAATAAAGTTCAGTAACTACCGTGAGACTTCACTCTTAAGACAATAACCTCCCAAATGAAATAGTTAGCCTTCAATTTGCAGAAAAATGATCAGACATATAACATGAACTATAAACCACTATTGAAAACTTCGAATTACATACAAGTACTCCATCAGGTATATTTTTTTGTTATTTTTCCTACACTTATCTTAGCCTCCAACTTGAACAGTGTATTGCGGCTGGAAATACATATATTGAATAGTAATATGAACAAAGAAAAAAAAAATGGGAAAAATCAAGCAACAATTGAACACTCCAGAGGCTAGTTAATCATCACTCTTTTCAGCGTAATATAGTGTCAGATAACTTGAGCTCTCATCGAATTCTGCATGATTCGATTACTTCCAGCACAGTTTTGTGCGTCTCTGGGGATATCATGTTCAGCGTCATATGAAATTCCTGGAAGTACAAAAGCATGATGCTATGAATGACGTTTATCTGACCTAGTTTGGCATACTATACAATTCACGAACTATTGTAAAGAGTTACATGAGAAATCCATACCACAAATCTTTCCAACACTGGAACGAGTATTGCCAGGTTGTGATCCGGAAGACATTCAGCAATAGCATTATGTATGCTCTTACTGGTAATCGAAAGGGGGAAAACAATGATTTGTGAGAACTGTAGTCAAAATGTATTTAGGGAAAGGATAAGCCGACGAAGGTGTACAAACCTTTCAGTAGAAAGGAATGCAAGAAGAAGAGCTGCATAGGCTTCTACAATCATTTTTTCAGCTTCTTTCTCTCCCTGTAATATGGAATCTTCATCATCCTGCATAGTCACATTTCGCACATAGATGTCAACCACATACATTATTTTTCCTGCATATTTATAGATGTAATGATGTTCACAACATTTTTGAAAAAATAAAAATCTTCATCTGCTAATGGCTCTCAAACACTTACAGAAACTAGTTATTCCTTTCTTCATATTATAAAAAGGGAACGGTCCCCAAACTTTAACTATAGCTGCACAAACACACAATTTGGATGGTTTCCATCATTGGGACTAACTGCGCAACTATGATAAAAGGTTGAGGACCAGCTTACTCCTTTTTGAAATTGGACACCAACTTACCACTCAGGCAATAGGCTAGAGACCAATGATGTCATTCCCCTTTTGGATTTTCAAAGAAAAAATCAATTGCACAAATAAGAAAATAATTATTTCTCAAGATATCTAGGGACAAAGGCGATAGAACTAAAAAAAACAAATCCATGAACCCCCCCGTTGCCCATTGCCATGCAACTAAAGTTAATACTTTCAACACAGAAAAGCTGAATCAAATATGGAAATAATACATAATAAAATGACACCAATTCACTCACCCAGGACAAACATTTTCCTTCTCCAGTGGCCTCGCCAGCCCCTTGATTAGCCAAAAAGATAGAGCACAATATCGGAATTACATCCTTACGGTCCTCCATCCCTTCCAAGCTGGGTAATGAAACACTACTTGTAGCAAGCCTTGATCTGCAGTAAAAGATATAGCAGAGACACTAATTATTTCTAACTTGTAATAGCAAAATCTGTTACCATAAGCCAAGGTTGCCTGGCAATGATCAGAAGTCATTCAAAATTAGGTTAAAAATGCAAACTGATTTACTATGATCATCAGTTTGTAGAAACTTTGCAGAACCGAAACATTGTGCAGCCAACAGAAAAATCATCACTTTGAATTATGCTAATTCCTTGAGAGTTTTAGAGATTTGAATTTTTACATAATCAGACAACTAGAGAAACATTTTCAAATTTAATTCCTTTTTTCCCCTACTATGACAATAATTATTTAGAAGTTTAAAATGTGGAAAACATTTGAAGGTGTAGTTAACCAGTTCTTACAAGGTGACATATGTCCTCAATTCATAAATGCAAAGAATGTGCAAATTCAAAGCAATGAAGATCTCATCTTGCACCTCATGTCGAGATCTTGTTCAATTTACAACATCAAGGCAAACAAAACCAAATAGAAACAACAATACTGTGGTGCACACGTCATGCTTCCCTATGCCAGTTTTTTTTTTAAACTACATGGATCTTCCATTCCACTCCATCAAAGGACATTTGAAAAGTTAAAATGGTTAAAAACTCACACCATGCAATTTTTGGATAGCCTGCAAAAGGTTGAAATCTTTCTTTAAAAACTCAGTGTAATTTTTGGATGACCTCTTCCTCTGAGCTTATCATTAGTAATAATTCCATTACTTCTCAAACCTGTGCATCTGGCAAATCCTTCTTTGGATGTGTCCAAAGCCATCTTAACTGATCCTCTCACAACTTATCTTTCATAGATGCTATATTAACCAATTCACAGATGCCGATTTCTATTTACATTCTCGTTTTACTAGAAATCCATCTTAACGTTCTCATCTCAGTCAAATACTGATCACATATCAATGTAAAAGAAATTTTATCAAGTTCACACTTTCGATAGAAAACATCATCAGTAAAACAATGAAATATTAGTCATCCAGTTCTCTAAAGTCCAGACTAACAAACAAAAGATGAAGAAAAACAGAGAACAATTTACCTGTTGCCGCAATCCTTCTCCACCAAATTCACAAGCAAGCCCAGAATAGCAACAAGAAAGTCTAGCTCTTGATCAGTGAGAAGAGGGTAGTTCTCTTGGCTAGTCTCCACACTTGATTTAGACGAGAAACTATTCTCCCTTGGATAGGGAGGCAATGATAAGCTAAACGATGGAAAGTGACCAGCAATCAGTGAAGACAGTGTTTCAAGACCTCCACTGGCAGCAATTTGCCGACAACCCTCAGGGTTGTCATTGGTTAAGTTCATAAGAACCTGCAAATTAATAATAAAGAAACTCAGTAATTTCCAGAATGCTGATGCATGAGCAAGTGAAAACTGTAAAATAATCATCCAGACAACAATTTACAAGAAAAATAAGAAAAAGAACACAAATATCCTTTTAAGCTTAAGAAAAGGATTTAAAGAATGTGCCATTTTGAAGAAGAAAAATTAAAAAGCACCTATGAAAAGAACTTAAAGAAAAGGCCTCCCCAACAGTCTTCAGTTAAACTTGATGGATCTATAATAACTTTATGACACATAACGTAAAATAACTCCTATACACAATATAGGATACCTCTAGAAGGACCAAATTAAAACTCTTCATCCTTAGTCTTCCATTGGAAACTCATTTCTTTAAACTTTACGAATTGAAATTTTAAATTACCTTGACAGCCGTAAGAAGACAATCTGCCAGAAGATCGGAGTTGTTTTCATCAGCAGTAGATGAACAAGAGGCCTCCTGAGAACAGGGATTTTCCAAGTTGCTTGTTTCTAGTTGGCTCGACATCAGTTGAGAGGGACACTTGTCTCGATGGTCTCTTACTGTTGCCCCACTATTTTCAGTTCGAGATTTCTTTCTCCTTCCAGATAATAAGTCCCACTTAGAGGGTTCATCAAATTCGTCATCATGAAATACGAAAGGATCGTGACTGTCCTCGACAAAATCGAAGTTGGCACCTTCAGAAACTTTATTTCTCTTGCCAATACCAAATTTTAATTCCGAATCATTATTTCTCAAGGATAATCCATTGATTGAATTCCCTGATGTTCCACTGCATGACCCAGATGTGGAGGACTCAATTCTCATCTTCAGCAACCAAGGATCAGAAGCTATGTTCGTAGTTTCCAGACTGGATTTACAGCATCCTGGCTGATCAGAACTAATGCATCGATCGTCTCGAGATGCACAAAAGCCTTTCTCAGAGGAGGTCCATTCCATGCTACCACACCCTGCGCAAGGACTGAAAGACTTCTCAACTTTGCCCACTGCAATTTCAGAAAAAAAAAATAATAATAATAATTGAGCTACTAATATTCAAAAATAACTTATTATTCCAAATAGTCACATTGACAAAGTGAAATGCCCGCTCTTCATTTTTAATTTAAAGCATAAGCTCTCTTAACGTGGAGGAGTACAAATATCAAACCAGATATAGACTCAGTATCTTTATCATATGTGATTTTTAATGTTCAAGAATAAACAATATTGTTGCAAATACTCACAATGCTAACGCAAAATACTTGCTCACCATTTTCATTTGAAAGCATAAGCACTCTTAACACAGATGAGTATATATAACAAGAGAAATTTAGACGAAGTAACTTTACCATATGTTGTTAAAGGCCTTTCAGAAGAATTTATGCTCCTATTACAAATTCCACATAGTTTCTCATCTTGAGAACTGCCCCACAGATTTCTCAGTAAGGAAACACCTATTATTGAAACAAATCATGAGAAAATTAACTGCAATAAACACAATCATCAAGTCCATTGTGCAGCTAATACTAAGGAACTAATCCGGATATCTTAAAAGAAAGAAATAAGGATATCTATGGGAAATTTTACCAGTATAAGATACCTGAGAGAATCTTAATGACACTTAGAATCAGTTTCGTGAAAGTACGTGGAGTTCGCTGACTGTCAAAGTTTCCTTTCATACCAAGCAAATGGCACTGTAATTTATAACCAAATTTACAGACAACTTCAGACAAATCAATATCAGCTAATCGACAGTTTATCATTTAGAATGATAGGGGAGCAAGTATAAGATGATGTTGTCAGCAATGCAAGATCTAGATACAAGCTCGATACCTGATTATCTTTGCTAAGGAATGTGGCATTTTCCATGATTTTTAAACATTTCAAAAGCAGTACTAGGCTTTCTATCCCCGTGACATCTTTCAAATCTAGCACTAAAGATGGACTTCGTTCTAACCATCCCTGCATAAAGTCAATAAACTTTAGAAAACATAACTTCTATAAACAAAAAGAAAGCTTATTTAACTGGCTCACAAGAACGTGCAATAATCTATTCTCGCATCTACAGCCAACAGATTTACCTTCAGAAGAAACGTCTTTCAAGGTAGAAGGGTCATTTAAAGAAGCCACTATTTTTTATTTTTTCTAAAACTTGTGTGGGTGAAGAACAAGCACAAAATAAAGGATATACTGCTGATAAGAAATTTCTAGCTCAACTCCATCAGGTTCTACCAGCTGATATAAATATAATTTCCTTCACATTAAGGCTCCACTAGGGTTTCAGACAAATTTTGGAAACGTCCCAGAATTCATCTCATTATTTTGGTAACTTCATATTTTCAATCTTCATGATGGGGTACTATAAGTTTCCATCATTTCACTCTGATTCAGCAAAAGCTAAATGCTAACCAGGAGCAAAGAGAACAAATGTAAGGGAGCATGATGAATTGCCTTAGAAATAGGACCCAAGTTTTATTGATAGAAGCCCATCTCACCCAGTCATTTCCAATGAAAAGGATTTGCCGGGCTCGAAGAAGGGTCCCTCATTCCCCCTACTCCTTAAAAAGGGAAATGGTAACAACTAGAGAAACCCCATAAAAAATAATGGGAAAAAGAAGACCTTTTCCCTTCACATAATTGGAAAGCCATCCACATTATTTTTCCTCCCTTATGTTATCCACTCTTACATTCAACAAATTAATTGCAGTATATGCACATGCTTCGTGTTAAAAACAGTCAAGAAAAGTATTCAAAGAAAAGAACCGTGATTTATCAAAGGTTGTGGGTTTGATTTCAATTTCTGACAAGTTATATACGCGAGGGAAGAAAGAAAAATATTCAGGATCTGCATGTAGCATATACCTAGACAGGAACAAACATAAATTTTAGTGAAAACAAATATATGGTATGATTGTCAAGACCAAGGTCATAAAAGTACGGTCATAATTTTCAACTTATTATGAGAAGTGTATAAATCTTCTTTTTATTTTGATCAATCAATTATGCAATAATGTGGTCTTTCAAACTAATAATCACAACTTGCACTGGTTATAAGCTCAATCATTGTGTAACTTTTAGGATAGATACTTGGTTTCCCACTCTATCAGCATATCTTTTACTCCAGCAGGTGTCTCTTCTAAACTCTATAAAAGACTGTAATGATGACTCCTACCAATGAATGATGAGCTAGGCCTTATCAGAACCAATAATAACATAAAATGAGAATATGCAGGTCATACCTCCATTACAGAATGACATTTTCTCGCTACTTCAAACACGGCATCAAGTCCTCCAAACTCTCTTAGTTTTTCCTTGAAGTTGCCCCCAGATTTTCTGACAGTGCCTGAGGTGTCTGTATGAATCCAAATCAAAGAAAAGGGGCAATGGAAAAATTAATAGAGGTTTAAATACATTGCAGGGGAAGATGGCAGCAAGAACAGGTCAAGTAAGTTATAAATTTAAAATAATGTGATAATTTTCACAATTTTTTGGGTAAGATAGAATGGTACTCAGATATTTCTATGTAAACAATATTTTAGAGGAAGATAAATATTCTTTTTTTTATAGTTAGAAGCAGAAAATAATGGCAGTGCATTGTATATAGAACATGCACGAGAAAAAGTGGACCAGCAATAGCTAGTTTAATTGTAGAAGCAAAAAATAACTAACGGGGTAGTGGTCATGCGCAGCACTCAGTTTGAGTTTTCATATAGCAACAAATGTTTTTATAGAGTAACAAATGGATAAGGCGTTTCTTAAATCAATGGATGGAAAGGAGAAGGAAAGGTTGAATAGGAGAAAGATATGCAGAATTCAAAAGGAAAGGTCACACATCAACAAGAAAAAAAAAAGGAGATGCACATTCTGAGGCATGAACTGTATACAAGGAAAGAGTCAATCGCCTTCCAAGGGTGTCCATAGCTTTAGCAAATTGTCACTGACTATCATAAATTTATAATAGCAATGAATAAGTAAATGTCTGCACATAATCAGCATAATCTCACAAATTTATAACTACAAAACAACATCTATTCATCCATCTAGGCAATATAGTAACAAGCTGATGAGTGCCAAAAAATAGAAATAAAACCCTTAAAATGAAATAACTAAACACTAAACATCCACTATTTATGTCAAAACAAATGGGAAGTAGTATTAATAAACCTTCAATAGAGACTCTGGATAAACAAGCTTTTTCCATTGTCAGCAAACTAATCCACTTAGGAGTCAACTCAGGTCTGTCCTCTCCATTATGTTTTTTATCCCTTGGCTTCATTTCCTTGCAATTGATAAGAATCTCCTGAACCTTGAGCATTATTGCAGCAGAGCTGGAATCTGGTCCCTTGGCTGAATCTTGTAAGATACCAGCATCTTTGCATATGCCCAGAAGCTTGCTACCGATGGTCAGTGTCTTTTCTTTGGCAGCACCTGATGTGTGTGGTTTCAACATTCTTATCAAAAAGCGAATGCAACTGTGAGAATTGAGAACATGATCATCTTGACCCTGAAAAAGTAAGGATTCAAGAAAATTCAAGTCTTTCTTTGGACTGCTAATAGATGTCTAGATGATAGGTAAGTTACTACGAATGAAACAGAAGATATCAAATTCAATATATAGTTGAAATCTAAAATCATAGGCAAAAAACAAATTGAACACGTCGATGTGTAGAGCAACCAGCAAAACTGTCAATTTGAACCATAAACAACTATAAACTTCAAATAGTCAAAATCGAATACCATAGGCAAGGAAAAAAATCAAACATGACCTAAAAATCAGCACAACTGTCTTTCTATAACACACAACTAGAAACTAGGTAATGCACAAAATTTCATCCCAGAGGATGTGATCCAGTTTTTCTCTGGGTACATTTCTTCAATGTCCCACTAGTGAAACAATTTGATGCAATCCAAAATTAACACCTGAGTTGCCTTGCCATAAGGCTTATGAAAACAAAATGAGTGTAGTGACATCTCATACTTTTTATACCATATTTCCAGAACTCGCTCTTTTAATATAAAAAATATTTCAGACCTAACCCTCCTAGTGGAGGTAGCTACCATTATATTTGTTGCATTTATGCAGTAAAATTTACTCGCTTTAACTTAATGGGGTGTATCTGAAGATCTAAAGTAGTTGAGACAAGACGAACCAAGAGAATTACTAAGATCAATTTCGAACCAAGAGCAATACTAAATGTCCAAGGGGTATGGTCAGCATTGTCAACAACATGATATAAAACTAAATCAGTTCTTCCTCTCAGAAATACTAATGTACATTTTTCCTCCCCTCTCTGTTCTTTGTGATAAGTGAAAAACTAAATCCTCCCAAACAATCCATGCATTTTGTCTAAATTATGGATTATCAGTAGTAGATGCTTAAGACCTCTTTAAGGAACTTGAACAAAATGACACTTAACTCTTTAAGAAAAAAAATTGAAATTCTTATCCATTTTGCAATTAGCAATTATGGGCATAGTGTAAAAACATAAGCTATTAGATTGAAAAGTTTGAAACTAGTAGTCAAAACCCAATAAAGCCTATTACCAACAGGAATAACTTCGCAATGAAAAAGGAACTTACATCACTTGTCAGGACGTAGAATAGAGCAGCAGCAGCAAGGTTGCTGGGGGGGTCATCAAAACTCAGTTCCGAAACCACGTGAATAATAGTTTTGGCCATCCTAAGAATGATCTCAGCAAGTTACAGAGTACTCAACAAACAAATAACAACAATTTGCTAACTAAAAATGAAATGTCAAATGAGTTTTCAGCCAATAATCATCTAGATATCCAAATTGTGTACATGTGAAAATATATATTGATCGCTGATAACAGGATGACTTATGTATTGCTACTGCCTTGACAGCAAAGAATTGTTCAACCCAGTGCTTTATTTTTGTCAAGGTTGATCATGATTCGACATTAAAAGCATGTTGATTTTTCCCCTATAGGCAATAACCAAAGAGTTTCAGTTTTACACGTTCAGGCCTCTTGAACATTGTTTTCACCTCACAAACGTTATTGCCTACAGATTTTACTGTTTGAAATGGGTTGATGACAGGTAAATCTCAACTTCACATAGGCTCAACAGTTTCGATACTCGCATGTTATTTTGCACGAAAATTTTATATTGGTCTATACAGCGTCATTGAATGACCACTAACCATTTGACTTGAATTAAGCGCAGAGACAGAATATAGAAAATTCACATAATATAGAAAATTCACATATCTGATGTGGAATTTCTTTTTCTGATAAGTGCATAATCATTTTATATCGAAATACAATGTAGTGTTTTGAAAATACCCGAGGCTTGCACCTTGAGGCATGCCTCTTGTGAAGTTTTGTTAAAAACTTTAAAAGCTTATGTTTTATGTTGTGTTGTTCACCATTAGACGTGCTTCTTAGTCTTGCCCTTAATGAGCTGTTCTTGCTACCAACCTCAGCTTTTTGGGATGGCATTTCATATCTTAGAATGTTTTGAGGGTTTGGGTTGTTTCCAATACTACCCTACCCTAAATACGAAGGAAATTGAAGATACGATAAAGGAACAAAGTGAAGAGCCAAGTGTGCCCTAGCCCTCTACTCCTACAACTGAAAGGCGCTAACCCCCAAGTGAAGCTGCAGATGACCGGAGACAAAAGACTTGTGACGTGTAATTATACTCTTCTTTCTCTTTCCTTTGTATTTATATTGTTGTCCATATGTTTTTGTTTTCTTTCTTCAGGGTATGCTTTTATTTTATCTTCTAAGCAAGCAAAATTCTAAAACATTTAGTCAATTGTTTCATTAGATTCAGACTTTTAGTTCTAGTGGTGTATTAGTAGTCTAGTTGTGCAATTATTAACTGGGTTAATTCATTATTTGTTATTTTGTTATCCATTTATAGCCCCGTTTGGCCCCCATTATTCTCCATTAAATTATAATTCATTTTCTCTCTTCTTATGAACCACACATTCTCCAATAAAATAATATTACACGTAAATCCAAAAAAATTCCTACTTTTTTAACCACGCGTTCTAAAAATAAATTACTATTTCTCTCATTATAAACGGGCGCTATATTTTTAGCTGCAAATTAAACTTTAATTTTGTTCAAATGTTTTATACGACTTCTAGATGATTTATGGTTTATTAGAAGTACAATTATGTATTTTTAATATTTGAATTATTTTACCGGTTTGAGGGTTGTGCCTCAAGGCGTCTAGTCGCTTACTCCTCACCTCATAAAAGTAAAATGCCTCTCAACTTGATTTAACATTTTCAAACACTGATATAATGGTATTTATAAGTCAATCCCTAACATGTTTTAGTGAAATGAAGAGAAGATAGAATTGTAGAAGCACATATCGGTTTTTCATAATTGAGGTGTGATGAATTATACTAAAATGAAGTATCTATAAATATCTGGGAAGTCCTAAAGATTTTCGAAGAATTCTTACAGACAATTTTGCAGTTTCCTGTATAAATGAATCGCGAATGCTAACCTCATACGAACCTAAAAACTGGCCCCAAGAATTCAAGCAGAGAAATGCCACGATTGAAATATAGATTTTAAGAAAATATCGTGAAGTCTTGAATGTTCTCATATTCATCCTCATTAATTATTAATATAGGTCGGCGAGTTTCTTGAGCTCTGTAAACCTAATGGGTCACACAATCTTTTTTTTTTTTATAGGTAATCACGTAATTTTATAAATAAAAAACAGAAGATAATACACAAGGAGTGCATTATCAATTTAAACAAGATAGAAACGATAAAAATTCGGCAACCCTTCTATCGGACTAATGGTTGCAGCCATAATCACGTAATTTTATAAATAAAATCTAATGGGTCACACAATCTGAATATCATCCCAATAAAACTAGAGAAAAACAATAACATGACCGAGCCTCAAACCTCGAAAATTCACATAATCATCTATTCTTTCCTCATATAAAGTTCTCATTGCCCCAAAAACCACAAAATTAGTCCAATAGATAAACAAGTATTTATCAAGATAAATCAAATGAGTTGGCAAATAAAGGATGAAATTTGATACCCGTGAACCCTCAACAGGCGCCGCTGCTGAGCAGTTCCACATATTGAAAGAAAAGACAGAAGACTCGCCCTTCGAGTCCTGATAGGCTGCCCCTTCTTCAACCCATCTAGTGCAAAATTCACCTCGTCCACATGCTCCATCATCTCCCCAAACTCTTGAGTCTCCATCAAGGTCGCTGGCAGCTCCACTACATCTGATCCCAACTCCTTCAATTTCACAGCCTTCTTCTTGTTATTCTTATTCTTATTTTTCTGCAAAACCCCATTTTCTTTACTATCCACCTTCTTATATTTTTCAGAAATCCCACCGCAGTCCCAAGAAAACCAATTATCGTTGCTCTTTCTGGAAGGCAGAACTGCCAATTCGCCAGACTCCTGCGATAAACTCAATCCATAGGGATCCAAATCAACATTCTTGGCCTTCTTCGATTTCCAAAAATCCCCATCAGTAAACTCGAAAACCCCTTCTTCTTGACCACCCGTCCTGGGCAAAATCGCCAATTCCCTCGTGCCCTGCGAGGAATTCGATCCATTCGGCCCCGAATCAACGTCAAACACCTTCACTTTCTTGGGCTTCCACAAATCCCCATCAGAATCCTCACATTCCCCACCCTTTCTTGCACCGGAAATCGTCAATTGCCTCGACTCCTGCGATGAATTAAAACCATATGAATCAGGCCAGTGACAATGAGTGGAACCCTGAGATGAGTACGTAAAATCGTAAACATCTTGAGGGCATTCTTGGGAAAGATAGTCCGTATCAACATCTTGGAAGCCGTTACTCTCCGAACAGCTGCTTCGATTCCGACGACCGTACTTTCTATCTATCATATTTCTTATCCTTCAAATAATTCAAATCCTTTCTCACGGAATCAAAAGGTAGGGTTTTTGAGTAATCAACTCGCGAGTTTACGAAAAATTAGGGTTCTTCGTTGGGGTGGGAGCTTCTGGGTTTGCTCTAATTTGAAGATTTGAAATTGAACAGAATTCAATTGTAAAATTTAAAAATGGAGAAAATTTTGAAACCTAATAAGATCTGAGCCGTTGGCTTCACCTTTTTTTTTTTTTTAATGGTATTAACGCGGATGAAGCTGATTGTTAATTTCGTTGTGATTATACAATTTGAAAACGGCCAAATTTCTCTCGCTTACAGATAATGTATCTCTAAATCGTGGATTTTTTTATAAAGATTTTTTTAAAATTCTTTCCTTCTTAAACTTATAATTTTTTCCTTATTTTATAACTATACATCCTTAAAAAAAATTGATTTCCATAAAATTTATTCTCAAAAAAATTATATCAATCGAGCTCTTAATACTTCTTCGGATTCATAACTTGGAGTACAATGTTAAAATTAATTTTTTATATTTTATTAAAATTTGGTAAAATGTCTAATTAAAAAATTAATAAAAATTGTGAATATTAAAAAAGAGCTTTTAAGAAATGGGGGCAGCAAAGTGCTTATGGCCTCATGGTAAAATTAAAAAATTTATCCATTTGTGTTCGATGCAGGTTTCTAGCGGAAGAAGACCAAATTACCTCTTGAGTATAGGGATGGCAACGGGACGGGGCGAGGGTGCCCTCCCCACCCCCCACCTCACCCTGCTACGAAAATACCCGCCCCGTTACCCGTTTTGGGCGGGGAGGGAGTAGGCATTTTCCCATTTTATTCCTCGTTTAAATTTTTTTTTATTATTTATATTCATTAGATTTAAACAAATAATTTAGTTGTTATTTTCTATTAAAACTAATGAAATTTTTCATTTAAAGTATTGACTTAAAAAAAAAAAAAAAAATTTAATGAGGAGGGGACCCCATTACTCGTTCCCGCCCCGAGGCAAAGTTCCCCGTCCAGTTTAAGTGGATTTTCCCCGCTCCGTTCGGGGCAGGGCCGGCGGATATTGGATTTGTCGGGTTTTTTTTTGCCATCCCTACTTGAGTATGATCATTTGAAAAGAATAATTGATTGCCAAACAACGTTTACAGCAATATGGGGTCCACAAGGCAAGGGTATAAGTGAAAATGCCAATTGAAGGGAAACTATACCTAAATATTTTAAAAAAATCTTGCATTTTCAAAGTATGACAATTTGATTAAAAAAAACTTTATTAGTATCTGCATCAATTAGGTGCTTAATTTTTTGAATGTTTCATAGTTAATCCTTAGTCTTTAGCATCTTTTCAAAATTCTACCAAACCAAACTTAGCACGACAAGTCCTTAATCTTTAACACCTCTCAAAAAATTCTATCCAATCAAAATTTTGCACAATAAGTTATTAATCTTTAGCACCTCTTAAAAATTTCTATCTAACATTTAAAATAAACTTTTCTATCTTCAATCTTAAATAATTTCTCTAATTCAATCTTTCAAAAAAAAAAAAAATTTCAATTTTTTCGTTTGAAATAAAAACCTTTCATTTTTTATAAAAACATTGTTAAACAATAGAATTATTTCCCAAATATTTATATAGCTTACAAAATTTTGTTAACCATGTCGATAATGGTTGTATATGTAAAAAGAAGTGTTTTCAAGTTCAAATTGATTATGATTAATTATATCATACGAAAGATTGGATGGATTGAAAATTATTAAATAACTGGATTATAGCGATCTTACTAATATTTTTATCTCTAATACTGTAAGACGAGTAATATTTAAATGATCGGCTATAACATTTTTTCATGTTATTTTACTATAATATAAATTTTTTAAACATTACATTTTTCTTAATAGTTTATTTGTTGAGCATTGAGTTAACAAATATAGTTCCACAAACAAATAATGCATCGTGACTCTATAAACGTTATCAAATAGATATTCTAAAAGTTGAGTTTATAACAAAAAGATTAAATACAAAGCAGTTTAAAAATGGAAATTAAAGTCTCGAAATGTAAAGGAAAATAAAAATATATTCCGATCTAAACTTCTAAATCAAAAGGAAATACTAAAATATTAAAAATAAACTAATCTATATTTTTCGGCACACTGCTCTCAATCAATTGATTATCATTGTCATATGAATTAACAAAAGAATTAGAGACATCCAAGTGAGTCACATCAATTAAACAATCAAATCATCAAAATTTGTTTTCACCTTTCCTTTTCCATCTATTGATTTTTAGTAGAGGTTTTGTCATACGATAGGTACATGATCAAAATCCTTTTATTTCACATCTAAAACAACATTCTTTGTACTCGTTTTTGAATGAGTTGTTTTCATTTGCTTTGTGCTCTTAAAGTTGTTGCTTTATTGCTATGTCCATTATTTCACCCATTATCTATTCCAAATCCATATTGGTGTCCACGTCCATGACCTAATGTTTCATTTGGTTCAAACAATGCAATAGCATTTGCTTAAGAACTAGTTGGACGTAACATATGGCTTTTCATTAGCAATTTGTTGTTTCGTTTAGCTATAAGCAGGTAAAATATGAACTCAGAGTACTTTTTGAAATGATGCTCGTGATGTGCAACGGCAACACATTTGAGGCATTGAAAGTAGACAGTTTTTTTCTAACACCTCTATCAATGATCTTTTATCCACAATGAGTTTATTTTGAACAATTTTGAGTTGTACTCTCTAATAATTTTAAAGTCGCACTAATAAATGTGCATCAATTCATAGCAAATTTAGGAAGGATTACAGTCATTTGTTGATAAAATCTTTCCAAATAACATGTGAATCATTCACTGCGAGGTACTCAATTTTCAATTCGTCTCGAAGGTGATGACAAAGAAAGATAGTTGCTTTTACATGATTCTATACATATTTATTGTTTCCTCCTTTTATTGTCTTTCCATCTCGTTCGAGATAAGATGAATCTCAATGTTAAGAGTCCATGATGACGAGTAATATCTTTTTGATATATTGAGCGCAACAAATTCAAATTTTGTGATGTTCTCTACTCGAGTTACCATACAATAAAGCAAGAAAACACAGTTAATTTTCGAAAAATATGATTCAACATCGTAAAATTTTATAACAACCAAGTAATGAGTCAAATTAATAAATATTAATATGACACGAGTTTTATGTTCTCAAGAGTTCATAAATTACACATATAAATCATAAATAGTTTTTTTATTTTATTCGGTGATGTGATATTCTTTGAGATGACAATAAAAATACTATTTTCAAAATATAATTATACATTTAGACTACATCTTCTTTATGAATAGTATATCTTCTGGAATATTGAAATTATAATGTTGTCTTCTTTGGAAATAAATAATATTTTTCTAGAATATTGATAATAATGGTTTGCTATTTCAGGAGTATCAATATATTATTATATCAGAATTTACTCTTTATGAGCAAAAACTAACTATATGTTAGATATTATAAAATTATGCCTTTTTGGAACAAGTTATATTCTATTAGATTTTCATATTTGATGTGGGGGCTTTGGTGTATATACGCAATCTTTCAAAGAATTTATTTGATTATCGATTATGAATCTACTATATGAAGCGAGATTGTGCCGACAACGTATGATAAATTAGAAACAAAAAGGTAGAGAATAGAGATAGTCATTAGAGATGTATATTTTGTTGCGAATCAAAATCCAATAATTATAAGTAAGAATTATGGTTGCAATGATACAATATCAGATTTGTTCACTTAAAAAGGGAGACGTTAATGGCACGATCATCTTCAAAAGCAAAGTTTAAAATAATATTAAACTAAATTACCAGCCACGAAAATAATGGACTAACCGTACAATAGCGAAATATATGGTTAAGTATTAATGACAATAGTAAAACTAAGTACGTTGTAAAATAGCAGGTATGTCAAATATTTTTTGAAAAATGAAGCTTATGAAGCTTAAACGGGGGCTAATAAACTTAATTTACATTTCTTGAGTTCAAATCGATCATATATATTCGCGAAAATTCGCTATATATATCTCTGGGTGGATTAGAATAAGCCTCAACGCAACCTAGAAATTTAATTAAAGATCGCAATAATAATAAAAGTGTATCTCAAACCTTTTATCCGGTTATTGAAGTTTACTACGTGGTCTAAATTAGCTTACTCATCAATTCTGATAGCCTAGGAATAATCGTGAGCAAATAAAACAAAGTAAATCAATCAAGTAGTAAATGTAAACGGAAAAACAATACGTAGAAGGGTGGAGATGATACAAACGATATAATTGTGGAGGTTTATTTAAAGTTAATGATCTACGTCTTTCGTTACCAAGCTCTCCGTCGAGAACAAGACATTTTTACTACATTGATTGACTTATGGTGTAATCAATATCATACAACGCTTTCGGTAACTTACAAATAAGGAGTATCGATTCTTATACAATACTAACTTTACAGGACCTTAATATGACCCGCGAGTATAACAAAGCGATTTTACAATGAAACTCATCTCTTGATAAATGATATAAGTGAATTAAATATTTATTAAAAAATGCTAACACTTCAATGAATAGCAACAAATCATATCCCGCGTGTTAGATAAGAAAACTTTTATGAATATGATGATTTTAATAGTTTTATTAAATCAATCAAAATTTTCAATACGAAAAAGTGGAAGGAATAGATGCAATGTAAGTTTAAAACTCTTATTCAAAATATGTCTCTCTTTTATAGGCGCTATAAATAAATTTAGTACGAAAAGAGATAAGTAGAAATTTTCAATGAAGAAAATGATTTAAGAAGTTTGATTTAACTATCAAAGTTTTCAATATAAATAAGTAGAAGAAATATATGCAATGTTTCAAAGATCTTCGTCTAAATCTCTCTCTTTCATAAGTAATAGAAATAAGTTAAGTAATTAAGTACAAAAAGATAGATGAAAAACGTTGATTAAAAAGTT